CCTCGGGCGGATGAGTGATGGCCCAGGTGGGCGTAGAGGAAGTGGCACATGGGACATGTGGCAGCTGGCAAGTGTCGCTATAACAAAAAAAACCAAGTCATTGGCATGCGTGCGAATCCCTTTTTGCTCATTAATATCTAAATTCATTCATTTTACTGCCTTTTTATTGGTGTGTGACTATCGTCGGGTGTGAGTTGCAGTTGCAAGTGCAGTTGCCATGGCATTTGGGTTTTGTCGCGCGCCCAGGAGCTTTTTTCTGTCTGCCTCTTTGCTGAGGCATGTCTTTGCGGTTGTTCCGCTTGCAACAAGAAAGAAAAAGATAAGCAGAAGACTGAAGAAACCAATTCCAACCGAAAGCGAGTCTCCCAGGCACAGTGGGTCTGTATAACTCTAACTCCTCCGCCGCGCAATCTTTTCTCAGTTTTCCACACCAATTATCTCACTTTCCAGTTTGCCTGCTTTATATAATGACATGTGAGATCTGTTTGCGTTGTGGCAAATTTATGCGGCCTGAACTTCCACTTGTTAGGCCCTGTGAATCGCCGTCAAGATTTGTCTGAAGATTCGGCTACCAGTAACTAGCTATGAGCCCAAATCATTGTTGACTTCAGTAATTAAGACAATGCGGCTATTGTTGGAGGTCAAGAACTCTGAAATCTTTTCGATGACTAGTGGCAGTTAAGCATTAGCTTATCTTACTGACCTTATAATACTAATGACTTTCAATTTGCATTTCAGATAAGATATAGAAAAAGTTAAATAACATTTACTTTTTTGTTCGATATTGATTTAAGCTTTTAAGACATTTTTTAGGACGCAAACTGATATTAAGATGGAATCAATGATTAAGCAACCAAAAACCTATCAATTTCAGAATAAAAACTGACCTTAAAACTTTTCAGTAAATCATTTTCTTGCAGATTTTAACTTATAAATACTACAAGAAGAGTTTTATCAGCAGATAACATGAAAGTTCCAAAAATAATGTATATATTTCTGGTTATCAGGAAATAAATATGGCCAAGTTGCATAACTTTTTGAAAGTTTGTTCAAATATCAAATTACCTCCATCAAAACAAATCTAGGTTTCTTGTAGAAATTGTTTTCTTATGACTACCTCATTCAATGGTATTGAAAATGAATAAAATGAAATAAAAGATAAATAAAAAATAAAATTTGATGCTCAAACTCAAGCAACGCCTACACTTTGCCCACTTCCTATGAGTAATTGACAAGAAGATAGATTTAATAATTCGATTTACCACTTAAAATGTTTCCTGGCTTTTTCAATGAAGCCAACTAACCTATTGAGAGCATTGATTTATTAGGTTCCTTGAGCTGTTAACTACTTCAAATCCAATAAGTTTTTGTTTATTTGTCCAACATTTTTCAAACTTACTGGCATTTTTTTGCGTTTTGCGGTTGTTTGCTCATTTGCCTCAGATTGACAGGCTGGCGACACGATGACAACCGTCGACAGGCAGCAAGTGGCAACAATGCCAACAAGGAAGTCGGACGCGCATCTTCCACGCGCACCCAATTATGACAAACGACAGCGGTGCCGAACTTGGCAGGGGAATCCCCTGGCCCAACAACACCCACTTCCCAACTATGGCAGCGCATCTGTGAGCCGCCCAACTTGCCACACGTTTTGAGGAACTGAGGCATTGAGTTATTGCTTGCAACACCTGCGGACTTTCGGCATTGTCATTGCCGCTGCCGATGCCGTTGCGAAGACGCAACAATGTAACTGGAACTCCGAAATAGAGCCCAGGTAACAGGTAAACGTCAACAGGTAATTGCCGGCTGTATACGGTTTTGCTTTTAACGATGCTCTTTGTGAAATTCTCTAAAAAGCAATGCGGCTAATGCAGTTTTTCAGTGTTGCAGGAGCCCAGGCTGAAAGGCATGCGACACAAAATGTGCCCGAATGTGGGTGTCCAATTGGAAGATATTGCCTGCGGTTGACCTGCCCTTGAAGTAACAATTTGTGATGCATTCTGGGTGGGAAAAGCAAGTGAGTAAAGTTCACCATTGCTTAAGCATTAAAGAGGTGTGCAGAAGGGTGATATGGGAGAGGGAAGATCTATATTTATATGTTTATAAAAAGGTGATGAATATTTCTAGAAAGTCTCTTTACAAATATGATATAGATACTGCTGAATTAAGATTTTATTTTATATATTAAATCATATAATTTGGAAATTGAGTATTTGCAATTTGATAAAAATAATCTCATAATTTAACATGTAGACTCAGGAGAAAATATTTATTCCTCATTGCCTTTTAAATACTTAATCTTAAGCCGTTTAACACCATGTCAACTCATGCGGAAGTTAGCACTTATAGCACCTTATGACTTCAGAATTAATAGTGTTATGGTTTCATTTAAGAAGAACATATAAGGTTCTTTCATATAGCCAATTTATGGCTTATAAACCATCTTCCGTCTTCTCTTGACCACAAATATTATGTGGTGATTCGACTTAATACATTATAGAGGTGTTAATCCGTATCAGAATGTCCAAAGTGCCACAATCCCATTGTACCCAATAGTACCTTTGGCCACGGACTGACACCTCCGAAGGCGCGAAGGCCAAATTGAATCGCAATCAATAAATGCTGGCTCTGTGACATAATGTGGCCCAATAACAAGCGCAAATTGCTAAAAACTGCACAACAATGCCAAATCGAACCTAATGGAATTTGGGCAGAGGTATTTTCCCATTTATATGGCCACGCCACTTCATCTACGTGATTGGCCTGGAACGGCGGCTGAATGGATGAGTTGGTTGGATAGTCAGATGGTCGGATGGCATGGCACGAAATTGAAAGATTGCAGCGTCATTGCTACAAAAAGCACTAAGAGCAGAGCAACACAAACTATAAAAGTGAAATGAAAGGAAAATGGGTCAATAGTCAATAGTGGTGGCCGAACAACATTTTGCAGATGTAATGAAACGATCGTTTTGAGCGCGGCTTTGTGCAATTTGCGCCGAAGGAGAGCAGCGGCTACTAGTCACCGCATATGGATAATTATTAAATAAGCGCAATTAAAGCGATCATAGCTGCCGATGGCCCAGAGACTAGTCCGACCTCAGCGAAAAAGCCAAAAACAATTGGCGAACGTCGATTAATTTGGTAGCGCCACTTTGAAGCTCCGCTCGGCATTGAACTTCGAACGCATCCACATGGAAATTAGCGATGCATAATGGTCAAATATTGATGATCTTGCCAGTGAAGCTGATGAAGTGTTAAGCTCGGCGCCTGACTCGGCATACCAATTTCGCATGACACATCTGTAACATCGCGAGCCCCAACAGCAAAAATAACGTAAGCGGCTGAAATTTAATTTTTCATTTTATTGTAAAATCTATAATTATCATAAATTATAATATCTATAATTATAATACAATTTGATGTTTTAAAACAGTTGTTTGAGAGCAACTTTTAAGTAATCATCGGAAAAATTACAAACATTTTAAAAGTCTATTTATTAAAAATAACTTAACTGCTTATTTTTCAATTTATAGATCCAGTGAATGCCTTCCTTTATGAAAAATTTTAAAACTGGAGTACTTTCCTAAGTAAGTAATAAAAATATTTACTTATATATTTTCGATTCCAAGGTGGATCAACACTTGACCACAAAACAAAATCCCCATCATAAGTTGGCATTCCGCTGCTCGACATGCGGCACGGCACGACTTTGTTGACTTGAGTTGCATAAGAAGACTCCAACGCCTCCGCTTTTCCCAACAAATGACCAACCTGCCACACGCACAAACATTATTTTCATCATTCTATCAGCCACCTCAACTTATTAATGCGTGTGAAGCTGCCCTGGAGACAGCGTCCGAAAATTGTCATAAATTGAAAAGTTTTTTCTTTCTTTCTTGGTGAAGTGTGAAAATTTATATATGTACAACGGAAGGCCTGTGATTATCAATGAAGTGAAAGAGAAAAGAGAGAAGGGCAATGGCAATGTAGTTTTGAAATCAGTTTTTTGTTTGCTATTATTTTTGGGAAACTGACTATTAATATAATATCAGAATTATCTATTTACATATAAATAATCGTATGTCTATTGGTTTAATTAAAAGTTTATGTTACTCTAAAATATACAAAATATGCTATATTTTTTAAAAAGGTCTTGAATGGAATTGAAATATTTTAAGAAAAGTTATAGGTAATGGAGCTAATCCACATTTCTGCTAAAAATGTGTTGGAGATTAACAATATAATATAATTTTTTGTTTAACTCAATGTTAGCCTTAGATAAATAAATAAGTGTTTAAATAAATTAAAAAATAAATTTTCTTAAAAACAAGTTTTTTGCACTTATATGTATTTACCTCTTCTGACAAAAATTAAAAAATTACAGAACAAATTATAAATGATTTTCCGAGGTACATAAAATGAATAAAATTTGTATATTATTCTTAAAGAGAAAAGTCCCTCTTTATTCCGAAGCTTACAGTATTGTAACACAATCTTTTCCAAAGATAAATATTATAAAACTTTTATGTAATTTTTGATTAAAGAGCGTAAAAAAATTACATGCATTCATATTACTTTTAAAAATTATTTTTATTTCATTAATAATAAATAAACTTAGTTTCTTTTGCATGCCCCATTTACCTATGTCTATCTGTATACCTGAGCTTTGTTTATGAATTAAACTTAAGGTGTGCTTATAAATTTACTTGTTTATTGACCTCATAAATTTAAATTGCGCGCCAACTGTTCTGTAACACTACACTAGTTGTCTCGCTCGCCCAAGCAAACAGTAGTAGTCTCTCTCCAACTAACGCTTTGATTATTTCGGCACCAAACCCATATGTTAGAGCGAGATAAAGCTAAGTACTTGACTGCTTTACAGTTTTACAGCCACTAGGCGCCAACATTTAAACATTCACATATTGAAATTCAAAATTAGTAATGTCTCAAAAATCTAAAAATCAATATCCCATTACCAAAAATTTGTTTAAACTTGAAAGTCATGGTAAATTTAAATCTTTTATTCATTTATATACATAAACAGACAATCTCGCTATATGAACTTAATTAGTTTACAGATTTTAACATAGTAAAGTAAGCTAAGCAACTAGTTTAAGGGATTTGACTTTAAGTGGACAGCAGTTAAATAATTTAAATGTTTAAAAGGGGCTCTAAGATTAATGATTAGTTGTTGCTTGCATTGCGTACATCTAGATGGAACCTACAGATAGTCCTAAGTCTACGTTTCTCATGCTAAAAGGGGGATCCTTCAAAACGCGTCTCAGCTGCAGTCGCCGCGGGGACTGCAGTGGAAAAGGGTTTTAGTCGCCTTAGTCTACGTTGCATATGTACAGGGTTTGGGGTTCTTTTCGGCCAGGCGTGGTCACTTCATGTAGTAGCTTCCAGGACCAGCTCGGCCCGAGGTGTACGTGCTCATCGGAATGCCCTGCGGTCCCGGAATGTGGCTGTGGGCTGACGAGTGCGTCACGGACTGGTTGTGCGAGCCGTACAGGTGGTCCACGCTGGAGTTTCCAATTCCATTGCCGGACGGCTCATAGTCCACATCGTAATAGATGCCAGATTGGTTCTAATTCGAGTAGAGGTATTAATGTAATAAGCAAAAACACTCAAATAAAGTTTACAAAAGTGCAAGTGCAAGAATGTTTATGTGATAGGGTTAAAAATCATATCCTACCGCTATGCTGCCGTTGCTGCGGCTCTTGGGGCGTGGCACTTGGAAGTTGCGTCCCAGCAGATCAGCGCGATCCTCCTCCTCGCTCGAACTGGAGTTCTCCAAGGTGCGCATTCCATTTGAGCGGGGACCCAGGCCAAGTCTTCTAAGTCAAAGAAAACCAGACTCATGAGTGAGTTTGAAATAAAATTTATCTACTAATTCGTACCTGGGCAATGGCACTGGAGGAGCCAGCGTGGCACTGGGATGCATCTGCATGGTGCTCTGAAGTGACATCCCGCCCAGCGTGCCCATTCCCATTCCTCCCAGGTTCGGATAAGCAAACATCGCCGAAGATGGCCGAGTGGGTCCGATGGGCTCAGCCTGCTGGTACAGAAAGTGAAATTTGTAATTAGTATTAAAAAAATAAATCTTATAATAAGAAAGAAAAACTCATAGTCTCGCAGCCAGATACCTACCCCGTAGTGGTTCGTCTGGGACATGACGTCGGCAATCTGGGCCCAGCGCATTCTGTCCTCCAGAGTCACCTGGTAGGCGGCCTGTGGCAGTCCGGCGGACTTCAGAGGAGCTGTGTTCATGTATCCAAACACTGGTGAGCCCATGGCGTTCTTCTGCTCACGCTGCCAACGCCGTGACCACATGATCAGGCACACGAGGGTCAGGACAATGATGATAATGGCTGCTACAGAGGCGCCTATGGCCACACCCAGCACTTCGCCGTCGATTTCACATTGGGCGCCATAGTGGCTGGAGTCACAGGTGCACACCTGTGCCCCATCGTCCCCGTAGCTGCAGGTGCCGTGGTTATTACAAACGGAGTCCGCACAGGCCTGACACTCGCGTCCGGATCGCGCCGGTTGGTCAGCCCACGGATCTCGGAGTCCCGCTTCACAGGCGCAGCGGAAGCTGCCCCAGGTGTTGGTGCAAGTGGCGCCGGAATGGCAATCATTCAGTTCCGGTGACTGACACTCATCCAGATCCTGCAGAGCCGACACTGCTCCCTCGGGAGAGCTTACATACAGCACGGAGTTGCCAATGTTGTTGTTTCGCCGGTGGAGAACACCCAGAAGATGCTTCTGAACATCGCTGCGCAGGTTGGGTCGCAGTGTCTCCACACTCTCGTCAAGCTGGAGGAGGAGAAAGAGAATCAGTGGAGTTTTTTAAAGCTACGAGGGTGATATCTACCTTGATGGTCATGTTTACATAGACACCGCTTCCGCCCAGGTTAGGATCTCCTCGGTAGATGTTGTTCACCTTGGCCTCCATGAACTCGTCTGAGTAGGGCGTCATCGACATTGCCGAGTCCAGCTGGAAGGGATAAGATTTAGTCGACCATGCAAATTGACGTATTTTAAGTATTTCAGTTCAATGGGATTCTGTTTAACCAGACCCAGACTTGAAGAAGATATAAATATGATCTCGAGGGGTAGACTTTATTTTCCTTTTTCCATTCGATGTTTCAATGTGAACTCGGCCTAGATCCTCCATTGTAAAAATCATTCGAATAACTTTCCCTAATTGTTTTTGTTCTTATGAAATAGTCGAGGCTAGACTCGACAATAATATTATTTCTTCTTTAGAATTGCTAGCCTGAATATCTCATTAATTCTTACTAATAAGTAACAAATTAAAATAACAACCAAAACCTTTTGGATTAGAATAGAATGAATTGGATTGGAATAGAGATTAACTATTTTCACTAGACTAGTAACATTTTACCAAATAGCTGAACATCAAAGCTCAGTCATCTATGGAAGACAATAGTACCCAATAATATTTCATTCAACTCTTAATTGCAACTATTAAAATTAAAATTACTACCTATTAAATCTCTTCTTTTGATTAGTTAATGGGTTGAATCAAGAAAACTAATGAAATAAACAATATTTTACCGCTCTTATGGATTCGTAGCTGAGCTGGCCAAAGGGTTCGCTATGTTTGTCCATTAGCTTGGTGTCCCAGACAATTCGATGCTCGTAGATCCTGTCCACGCGCATGCCCAGATGGAAGGAGATGACTCGTCGGCAGGGCTCCCGATGCTTTCGCCGGGAGTATCCTAAAGGATAACGCAATAATTTAAATATGAATCAAACCTTTATTTCAAATTAACACTGAGGAAACTCACCTGGTCTGCAATGGCAGCTTGAAACTCCGTTGTCCGTTTTGCACCTCTCGTGCTGCGCCTGATCGCACGTTGAATCATCGCCCACAATGCAGGTGTCGATCCTTACGGGTGGCTGTGTTGGTCTCTGTCGGTAGTGAGGTCTCGTGGGTCCAGCATTCGTTGTGGGGGCTCCTCCTTGGGGCTTGCTGTGACCCTGAAGATCCACCACCTCCGTTTCGGGCACCACATACCCACCACTGCTCTGGGTGACTGCGTTGGCAGGGACAGCAGGGGGGCTGGAGGAACCACCACCACCTCCACCACTGCTGGCGCTAACTCCCGGAGCAGATCCTGGTGCAGATCCTGATCCAGAGCCTGGCAACTGAGGCAGACGCGTGGCTGGAGTTGAGGCTCCCGCTGGGGGATCTGTGGGGTCACCAAAGAGATTGATGTAAGTGCGCTTGCCGTCGATCGAGACAAAGCCGTCGTCACCTGATGCCGACACAATGATGTCGCCCTGACCTCCGCCCGCCGCATAGGTTCCGTATGGCTTGATGTTGATCGTCTGCTGGGATCCACTGCCCTTGGGACCAGGTCCCTGGATGGCGGACAGTGTAACATCAAAGATTTCTCCGTACCCGGGTGGCAGATGCTGCCTTGTGGGTTGCACTGCTGGCAAAGGAAGGGTCTGTTGAGTGGGTGGACGCTGGTTGGGTGGGCGTGGACGGCCACCGGGTTTGAATTCGGGATCGTCGAGGACTATTCCAGGGCGAGGATGGTAGGGGGCGGGCGGAGTGGCATTGGTGTTAGCATTGGAACTATTAGGTGGCGCACTTTCAGTGGAACTCGTAGTAGATGGCGGGGTGGTGGTTGAGGTGGAGCTGCTAGTGGTAGTAGTGGTGGTTGTGGTTGTGGTGGTTGTGGTAGTGGAATCTTTGGAGGACGAAGGTTGGATGGCTGAGGCCAGGTTGGAGGAAGTAGAGATGCTCAGAGAGGAGGTGGCACTCGTCTCCAGGCCGGGTGTTCGATTGGCGGTCATGAAGATCACCTCCTCAGTGGAGGGATCCAGACCGAGGCTTTCCGAACTGTCCATAGACATGGGCACGTACGTGGAGGACATGCCCATCACAGTGTGCACCACGGAACTGGTCTCAATGATGGTGGTCATGCCATCATCGAAGGGAGACTCTTCTGGTAGCTTCTTCTTCTCACTTCCTGGTTTTGGCTTGTGCTTCTTCTTCGAAGGTGTGGTTGGCGGAGTTGGAGGATTGTTGGTCGTCGAAGGTGGAGCGGGAGGCGGCTGCAGTTCATCTTCTACCTCTCCACCACCAGTGGCATCCGTATCCTGGTCTGACACTTCGATGTACTGGGCATTGGCATCTTCATTAGAGAACTCCGAATCGTAAGTGGTGTCAGTGGGTTGTACCACATCGTCTGCTGGCTGATGCTGCTCCTGGTGATTCTGTTCCTTCTCCTGCTCGTTCTTCTTATCCAGGTGATCCTGAGGTTGAGGCGATGACTGGACCTGTGGAGCTGGAAGGGGCTTGTACTGGGGCAGGGGTCTCCGATTGCCTCCCACACTTGTGGCAATGGGTGGACGTGGCTTATTGCGGTACCAAGGTGGACGATTGCTAACGAATCCTGGACGCACGGGCACAATCTGCTCGGGAATGGGCACTCCGGTAATGAATGGCCGTTCCGGACGATCAAAGGGATAAGGCGGTGGTCGCATCGAAGTTCCTGGCTTCTGAGCCTCATAGTCAATGGGCAGGTTCTGGGTCTCGGAGATTCTTGGTGGACCCCGATTATTGATCCTACTGGCCGAGGGTCGCCTGACCCCTTGAGTATTCGCGTGGACATTGACATTGCCATTGAGGAGCTTGACGATGCCCGTGATGATGTCCTGGATGTCGGGATTTCCGTTCTGGCGTGGACTATGCGGCGCCTGGGTGGCACTGGCCCCCGTCGAAGAGGTGACAGTACTGCTCAGACTCGGCCGAATCGGGGACCCCGACGCTGGCGGTCGCAGGTCCCCCCGCCCTAAAAAAGACTGCTCTGAGCTACTGCTCCCCATCGAGAGGGTTTTCCCAGCCCTTATCGCCGAGACCGTTCGCTCTGGCTGCTCCTGCTGGTTGTCGAATGTTCCCGTGGGCTTGATGTTGTAGTGAAAGTACCTTCCGGCAGAGACGTCCTTCTCCAGCTCCTCGGGAAAGTGCACGTCGTTGGGTCCGACAGGTTGGCGATCATGCAGGATGGGCGATGCCGAGCGTTCCACTCTTTCCGCCCGTGTTTCATTATCGTTGATGTCGAGGGGCAAAGAGGGACCCTCCGCCATGCTGTTTATGGAGTCCGCAACTGTGCTCTCGATGCTCATGCGAGCAGGAATGCGGTGGCTGCTCGACTTGGGGGAGATCTGTGAGATGCTCTGTTGTTGACCAGCTGGAAGAAAGAGAGATAAATAAGTTAATTAATTCATTTACGTAAACTAAGGAACTAAAGATTATGGAATGCATCTAATCAAAAATTGATTAGGTTTAAGCATTAATGGGAATTAAATTGAAAAAGATATTCTTCACTATCATTAAAATGATATTCGACAGAGCCGAGAAGACAAGAAAAAGGTTAAATTAATCAAATTTAATGGACCGCATTTATAACATTATTTAATCATATCTATAACGAAAGACTAGTCTTCCTTTCAACTTCATATGATATTTTATACCGTAAGAAAACGAGAAGAAAGGGAAAGAGTTCAGTGAAAAGAGCGTCGAATTCCGACGTGAATGTTCATTTTCCCTTGAATCCATCATCGCATCGACAGAATCTTCACATCGGGTTTCACTTTTCACTTGCCCCATGCACCTGCCCCCTCCATTCCGAGCTGCCCTTCCCAGCGGCCACATCGTTCGTCATTGTCAACGCGATTCATTTGCATTTGGAAGGAAAACACAACAAGCCCAGCCCAAGTCAGCTCGGATCAGTTTCAATCTCTGTCGCAGGCTTAGCCAGGCATCATTTGTTTTCGATGTCAAGTCTGAGTCTGAGTCTCTGGCTTTGTCTTTTCATATTCTTTTCACTCTCTTTGCATATAATTGTGTTTGTTTTCCTTCAAAATTGTGGGGTTGCGGCCCCAGTCCGTGGATATAGCTGATGGCCTGCATATCTGTCACAATGCGGAGACCCATTGCTGATTACCCTGGGTACGCGGCGCACACAGATACTTGGATTCATGGCCCCGGGCCAGATCTGCACTTGCTTGGCAGCCTAGGAAGAATTTCACAAATTGCTACGTCAAGCGTTGAAAAGATGCCAAGCCGAGGCTGTTGTTGTTGTGGCGGCTGATTTTCATAATTTTCCTCGGATATGGCGGATAAATGAGAAGCAACTTAAATATAGATTGCTGTCTTGCAGAATGCAGATGGCAATCGAATGGGGACAGGCACTCGAACCTCCTTCTGTCGATCGAGGAAATCTTGAACAGGCACTCCTTATCGCATTTTGAGCTGCAATCTCTTCACTCTCATCTAGGCAGCAAGCACACTGAGAGAAATAGGGTTTGATATTGATATTATATATTATAGTATTCCCAAAATGAAATACACCAATTGATCGAACATCTTTGAAGACAAAATAGGTCAGAGTGACCCTAGATTTTTATAATTTTCTTCGACACAATATTCGAAGCCATCAATACTTGAGCTGTGAATTGTCTGGCAAACATAACCGATCTCACCCGGCACTCAGCAAGTCTGGCCTAGCTATTCTTCGACACCTTCCCAAAAAGATTTATTTGCCGCTGGCTTTCTATGACTGCTGCGGCTCTTTTCTCCCCCATTTTTCGGGTTGTCAAGTGCATGTCATCTTTTGGGCTTTATGGGGAGAAGGCCAGAACCAGTTTAAGGTTGGAACAACAATCATAATTCACACTCGCCCAACGAAACACGTTTAGTTATTGAGCTTAACCCAATTGCCGAGCGGCATTGGTACCTCTTTGTGGGTCTCTGGTGGGTCTTTTCTTGATTAAGTTTGGCACAGATTTTACTTTCACCTGTCGCTAAACTGGCTCGCCTCTGATTGAAATACACAATATTTGTTTCACTTTCTTCGCTCCAGCTATTTGTTGCGATTTTTTGATATAATTAACGCTTCCTTTTGGGCAACCAAAACAAAAGGCGGCGACACAGTTTTCACTTTCCTTGCCTCGTGGATTGTTCATTTTCCAGTTTTTCTGTTTTCCATTTGATTTTATTGATTCCGAGCGAGTTTGGGATTGGGATTTTGATTGGATTGGCAGTAAAAGTAAGCCGGCGGCTGTGAAATTTCCAGACATGGACATAGCCGGTTGAATGTGTAACGCAATTTGGGATGCGAAAATTGAATTCCATTTTGGGTGGGGGGCAGAGGGGACATGCAACACTTTCACGGCCAGGCCGCAACGAAAGTAAAATCTCTCAATGTCCGGACCAGTCTCCAGTCCAAGTCCCATTCCCCCGTGTCTCTTGGCTATTATATCCAGACGGCTTGGGTTGAATGCACCCGATATGACAACAGCATGGAGACAACGGCAACAGGCGTCATTAGTTCCAGTGCTTGCCTACACTAATTCGATCGCTACTCCATCGAGGACGCACGACTTGTGCCCTGTCTCTTGGTCTCTTGCCGCTTTTTTTCCCCCTCAATTTCAGCCCAACCCACTCAGCAATTCCTTCTCCTTGAACACGAGTGCCAAAACCGACTTCAGCTCCATTCGAATTGGCGATTTCAGCGCCTCCAAATTGCTGACAAGAAATCACTTTCTATTTCGCTGCACTTTTCAACTGTTTCCCAACGCGGCCAAGAGCTGAAACCGAAATTAGCTCCGCCTGCTCGCCTCTAATGTAGCCAAAGCTGGCGGAGATAATTGCTTATGAAATACGACAATTTTCTGTTTCGACTTCGATATTTAACACACGTCCCAAAACATTGCGCATACGACATGTCTGCCCCCAGCACTTTCCGTTTGCACTTGCGAAGGCGGAGAAGGCTGGCTTTAGCTTTAGCGATTATGCAATAATTACATTTAATGGTCTGCTCGAAAGGCAGGCGACAAATTGTTGTGTTTTCACCATAAACAAATTTATGTAATTGCTTTTGAATAGCTAAGTTGGGCAGGAAGCCGAATTTCAATGACATTTCAAATGAAGTTAACAACGCCATTCGGCAGTTACCTATGCATAGCCATTTCTTATAGGCGCAGAAAGACCAAAGATATATAAAGAAGAAGGTCTATAAATTAAGGACTTAAAACAAGCTATAGAAATCAGTTTGACTACAATCTCATCCATTCACATATCTTCGATGCATAGTATCATAATACCTATCCAGTGTTTACGATCAAAGCCATTAAACTAATCTTAGGCAACAAATCTAAACAACTCCCAAATATTTCTCTCACCCCTCTCCATTTTTCTATTTTATGCGTTGTTGGCCAAGCTTCTTTCATCTTTCTGAGTTGGCCCATAAACATAACTAAGCCGTCCGATTGTGAATTCCGCAGACCCTTCGGCGAAGATTTCCATTAAAAAAAAGAGATGTGGGACTGACCACATCTCCGAATGCCATCACAGCAGCCACGCCCCGAAAATGGAGCTCAAGAACTGGAGAGCCCTGGACCGTCTCAGCCCAAACCATTCCACAACCCTATCTAACGCTGGCCAAGCTGGACTATTAAAAATTTGATTTAATGCTAATTGATTTCTTGAGCATCGACTTTCGTTGTGGGCGTTGAGGCCTAAGCTGAGGAAGTGGACGAAATCGAATTACCAGGGAAAGTCGCCGGGCTGCAAGGGGTTCAGCCTGTTCAGATTGCCCTCATCCGATCCGTGGGAGCTGCAGAGTCATTCCTCGGGCATTTCATTAGCAAAGCAAATAAAGTATCTGTGGCCCGGGCCCAAGCACTTGTGCAATCAAACCGTCAACTGGTCGGTGTTGTGCTCAAGAGTTGTCTGCACAAACAATTGGCCATGAGCAGAACTTGAAAAGCGTCTTGGCCAGACTTTCCTTCGTCTCTCTGGAGCTGGAGTTGGAGTTGGAGTTGGAGTTGGAGCTGGAGTTGGAGCTAAAGTTGGAGATGGAGCTGAGATGCATGAGCTGCAATTAACAAAGTGACGACGACAACCGACACATGGCAGAATAAGACAAGGCAAACTGCACTCCACTCGACCCCTAAGTGGTGGCTGGTGAAATTGAAGCATTTCGCTGGAAAACTGATTTTCCGTATCCATATTTTGTGGCTTTTTTTTCCTTTTCCGGGCACCGTGACCATGACGTTTGGCCTTTGGCACTGCACGAGTGTTTCTCCTTTGGAAGCGCGTGCCTGGCAGTTAGATATGTCTAAGCATTTAAACTAATACTATCGCACTTTCACGTATGCACTAAGGAGGTTTCCAGCTTTGTTTTTTCACAAAAATTTAGCGATTTTAGCTTTTTTGGTACCTTAAACGGGTGCTATATGAATTGAGAACTTCGACTAATTCAAGAGCCCTTATAATTATAAACTCTCGGCAACTATCTTTTTCATATATGCCTATCCATAAAGTGATATAATGAAGAATTCAAAAACTCTGTAAATAAAACTTGACTTTTAACTCCACTGCTTTCTAGCATTATTTTCTTCGAGTGTTGTAGGTTTCATCCTTTGCACGATTATTAGCCACTCAGACGTAGATCCAAAAGCGAATGACCTTAATCAAGGTCTAGCTCTGATCTAACCGCCTTAAAGACGGAGCCAAAGCCGAAGTGGAAGTCGACGCCAAAGCTAAAGGCGGTTGCAGTCCGACTGCATTTCTGTGTTGGTCAGGCTTCCGCAGATGCGGCTGCTGCAGTTGGTTACGCTCCGCTGCCCGCTGTGGGCCATGTCTAAGCCAAGTCGAAACCCAAAAACCAGGGAGAGGGAAATTTATAACCTGGACGCGCTCTGCTGGCTCTAGTCGTTGCAGAGTGCGGAGAAACTGCAAGAAATCCTCCCATATCAATAGAAAGTCCATGGCAATCGCAGGGATCTCAAGACCGAGGTTTAATGGCCGCCACTTATGAAATCTAATTGTCTCACATGTTTAATTAAGTCGCAGGTGGGAGCGAACATAGTAGGGGCCCCTAATGGCCTTCTGGCCAGGCCAGAACAAGACTAGGCCCTGTAACTAGCTGCAATTTACCTGGCGATAAGCGATCTGCACGATCTCCTGGGGAATGCTGGTAAATAGTTGAAATCGCATTCAGTTCAGCCCCTTGAACATGCCACGGGAATACTTCTGCAGTCGATAACTTGGCTTGGGTCAGTAACCCAGTGCTAGCCAAGGCAGAGGAGCCCCAGCTCTGATTGAACAATTATGGAGAGCCTCTTGAGTGTGAAGAAATGGAACACTGGATATGTAATAGAGTATCCGATACTGAGAACAGAT